GGTAATAAGTATGTTACCATGCAGAGCTGATGGAGACATTTGCCCTCGTTTCTATTTTTTTTTTAATATGTTCATTCAGGACATGGACGATCATGGCTCTGTGCAGTTGTGAATCACCATAACGCAAAGTCATTTAATTCAGAGCAGATAGACTGGGCTAGAATCCAGTCTACCTTGATATTTAGTCTATAACTATGCGTTGGTCAAAAAGAAATAATGAATTTATGCATTTACTAAGAGTATCAGTCTGAAAGTGAATGTAACATGCTATATCGGCCGGACGATTCCACTTTCCGCTCCAGTAACCGTTACACTGCCATCCTGAAGACCTTTTGAGAAATTCTCCAATCGTGATAAACTGTTATACTCTCAATGAAGCTCCAAGCTTTGAACGATTACTTGGTCACAAGTTAATTCCAAACTACACTGAAGTTGAACTCATAAAATCTATTAATAAAGATGCTGGAAAATGGTCGGCTCCTGCTATCGCTCAAGGAAGTAGCTGACCCCTTCTGCCTTTCTTTATCTTTATGAGAGTCAGATTAGACTAAAAATGGTATATTGCTGCTAGAGCTGCTCGATATTCACTTTGTAACCTTCATCATCAAAATCGTTTACGCGGCTTTGTGGAGGAAGACTTATTATTCACCTTGTATCCTCCCTTTCACAAACACAATGTTAAAAGCTTGTTGCTACTATCATGATTTCCATGGTAAATGTCCATTATGTAGTTGAGACCTTTACAGCTAGAATCCAACATTCTACTCCCACGGAGTCAAATTAGCCCCTATTCTCTATTCCAAATGTGAGAAGATAATTCCACTCAGTGAACTTCTTGCTAAGAACTGCTGCATTATGGAACAGATTCACATATCGGTGCTTCTCTGAACCCTTTAAGAAGTCAAAAGTTAATCATCATCATCCTCATCAATTCCTTTTATTCTCATAATCTTCACTTATTCACTTCGTCTTTTACTCGTATTATACCTCATTCATCATAACCATTTTAACAGCACAGTCTATCTTGGATAAACTTTAGTATAAAAAGTAAGTATTCCTGTCGCGAGAAAACGAGCTTCAATTCCTCTGCCAGAGAAGCGCAATCAATTTTAAACATTTACTTTTTATGTTTCTATAAAAATATATAAGAGAATATGATACGTAAATTTCTCAATGTTACGAAATTGAATTACAAAGTGAAAAGATTGTGTAACGCGTTTCGGCCTCTAGAAGGATTTCATCAGACTAAATTAATGTTTCTATTGATGGAATTGTATATGCGAAGTGGGAGATATAAAAACGGGCGTCGATTATAATTATGTACAAAGGGAAAGTGGGAACGCTATATATATATATATATATATATATATATATATATATATATATTAGACGTATCTGGACACAGCGTAGCCGATCTCATTCAATTTTCCTGCGCTTTTGTTTTTATCGTTCTTATTTTTAAGAAAATATAAAAACCTGAAAACCAATTTACCGTGGCGGATTTAGCAATCAGTGCACTTTCTACACATTTTCGCCTAATTGCATTCTCTTAATCAAAATAGCATTTTTTAAATCGAAATTATGTTTCAGCTCATTGCGGTGATCGACTAATGAACTTAGTATATTGATTTGTGTTAATACAATTTTATTTAAACTAAGTCTCTGTCATAAATTTAACTAATAAAAAATGATGTCGTAAATTTCTTTTCCCACCATAAAAACAAAATAAAATTTAGAATTATCGGATTCTAAATAAGAACACTGATAATGTGTAGCCCCTAATATTTACGTGATAATAGAAATACATTGAAAATACTTTTAAGCTCCCCCAATACACTATATTTCATATTTAATGGGAAACAAAAAGCTCTTCAAAATGAACGATACAAACAAAATTAACGAAACGAGATGCATTACACTACCTACTAACTATTACAACAAAAACTGAAAAAGCAATTTATTAAAACGAAAGTGCAATGTAGAAAGTGCACTGATTGCTAAATCATCCACAGTAAATTACGTTCGGGCTCTTACAACATTTCACCTTATTTAACGATTTTTGTCACACTGGGATAAACGATAATAAAAGCGGGGGGGACTGAAGGAGATCAGTTAGATTGTGTGTCCAGCTACGGCTGACAAAAAAAAGATCTTTAAAATTTAAGTTTTAATACTCAGAAATTAAAGAAGAAAAATAATTTAGCATTCCCCCATCTTCAGCAATTCCCTTGGTACATGATTATAAACGATAATCTATGAAAACATTACTTTTGTCCGATGAAGACGAAATGCGTTGCACAGAATGCTTCCACTTTGTCATTCAATTACTGAATACAAAAAATAAATAAATTTATATATTACACACACCACACGTCTCTTAAGGAACCGTATTCCTGATCAAACCAAATTTATGATTAATTATATTGGACATTGCACCACATGCTTATAAAAAAAAAAGAATCACGTTACATCTGTGACCATAATCAATTAGGATCTATTCAAACACGCACGGAAATCTACCAAACTCCGTTCAAAACAAACTCGTAAAAAATACGACAATAATAGAGACTCATCAACAAAAAAAAGATTAAAATAACGGAAACATTAAATATCAACTACGAACACGAGATCACAATGTGTTGTTTGTCTATATTTCTGAGATGAGGTATTATGTACAGTATTTACATTAGTCGGACTATTGTCCTCATCTTTGTCGCCATATTTGTCACAACGTTTCGGCCGTTGTACGCTCCGGCCTTCTTCAGGTGGTTGGAATTTCGAACTGAATCCTTTATTTCGATCACTGGGGTAGACTGTTCTAATTCCACGTGCCATGTTTGATGGATGTCAGTTATCAGTTATCTCCTGCTAATTTTCCCTCTGATAGTTCTCCACTGCCTTAACCAGGAATTGAACTCACCTTCTTTGGGTCTGTCACTGGATCTAACCAACGCCTTTATCCACTGTGCCATGTGTCCTTGAGGACATCTGGGTATGAACTTCTGAGTATTATAAACCTAATGTTTTCAGCATCATTTTTACCAGTGCTCATATTGCAATTTTTGCTGTTATCATTGCATGTCTTTACCAGAGTTCATATTGCAACTTTGTTATCATTGCTTTTCTCTGGCACTCCTTATTACTGGTTCCCATATTGTATTTATTTCTATGCTTGGTCGGCTCAGGAGATTTTTGTGGCCTAGCATATGTGCTGATTCCTTAATTCCTAATTCCTGGTTAAGGCAGTGGAGAACTTTCAGAGGGAAAATTAGCAGGAGATAACTGATAACTGACATCCATCAAACATGGCACGTGGAATTAGAACAGTCTGCCCCAGTGATCGAAATAAAGGGTTCAGTTCGAAATTCCAACCACCTGAAGAAGGCCGGAGCGTACAACGGCCGAAACGTTGTGACAAATATGGCGACAAAGATGAGGACAATAGTCCGACTAATGTAAATACTGTACAATGTGTTGTGTTTCGAAAATAAAATAAATTCTTATCACTGTAGAGATACACATTAAAATCTATATAATCAGTTAAAAAAATGAAAAAAAAATTCTTTATAATGGCTTACAGATCTGCAAGCACTCGGATATATAGAACATTTGAACAATTTTTTTCTTGTATCTAGAAAAGAAAACACTTATACGAATCCAAGAAAATTGATTAAAAAGCTTAATCGCAGTACACTGTCAGTCGAAAATTGTATAAAAAAGGGACTGCTACCTAAATACACAATGTGTGTGTGTGTGTGTGTGCATAATTGTCGGTTAAAACAGAGATATTGATAATATATAATAATACGTAATTATTTTCTGCTTTTACAAATATTTTTAATAAAAGTAAATTCAACTTCTCTTCAGTTCTCAAATGAAGTTGAAAAGCGCCTAAACTCTCCAGATTAAAAAATTGGAAATAAATGCGATTTTTAAAGAAATAAACGTCAAAGTTCGAAGACCTGCAAGTCTAAGAAGCTAAAAATTATATTCCATAAATTCGCTAAATCTAAAAGTTTCAAAAAAAATTTATCTTATAACATTTATTACTTTGTTTTGAATCTATTCTGGTAAATATAGATTAAGTTTTATTCTGGTAAATATAGAATTAAGTTTTCAGTGTACAAGTTGCTTGTTCTGATACAGTGTTTTGATTCAATGTAAAATGGAAACGAATTTTGAGAATTCTTACTCTACATCTTCAGAAGTACCCTACTTTTCGCGAAAAGGCTAGCAGTTTTGGCGTTCCGTAATGCTTGCTGAAGACAGTTATGCCGTGGGGGATTGTTATGGCTACACGCCAGATAAAGAGTCATCGTTTTCGGGAATGAAAACCCTCGAGTGCATTTGATCATGGGGACTGGCAAATTTATACAGCGTTGCTTGCACTTCCCCTTTACTCACTGACAGAATAAAGAATAAAATCAATTGGCGAAATTGTCAGTTTGTTTACTCAAGATCATTGCTCAGCGAAAACGACTTCAGCCTATTTGAAGAACGAATATTTACGCGTAAAATTGGTTCATATTTCCCGGCACTGTGTAGAGTATCAATGACAAGATGATATGAAGATGGCAGAATTATGCTCGATGTGGGATCATGTTCCTTTTCACGACCTTTTATTGAAAATGCCCCTATTAATCAAGAGTTGCTTAGTTAAGCTTCAAATTTGACTTTTATGCCAGTGACAAATTCGGACTGGTTTTCATATTTTAATGCTCAATTCATACAACCAATTCTAAAATCCTTTCAAACGCTTTCATAATTATTATCACTTTAAGAAATAGAATATTGTGATTTCGTTTAAATAGATAAAAAATGTTTCGCTGAAGTAATTTCGCACCTTGAGACACAATAAAACGAATCTATTACCAGTTATATTTTAAAATAAGTTCCATAAGATTTAATATAATGGTCAACATTTTTATTTTTTTTTTAGGCATGAAAATATTATTGCTTTTTTGTGTGTCTGTATATAATTATTGTCTTTATTTTTTCAGGCAACTCCCTGAAAATAGGATTACCAAAATTGAACGGGGAGCTTTTCAGGACCTTATTTCCATGGAACGATTGTAAGTTATTTGAAAAAAAAATTATGTTGAATATGCACTCATTGTGTGGCATGTACTCTTTATGATTTTCCATACTATCATCATGTAAAAGTTTAATTTAATCATTTATTTAATATTTTTTCTGCATAGCTATTTCTCGATATAATATACCATGTTTGATCAACATAATATTTTTGACGTGGCAGTATTTGACATTTTATATTGTTTTTTTTCAACTGCTAAGAAATTCAGTCGTGAAAATCAATTCAGACGGTCATCCATCTGACTATAGTTGATTTTATATATATATATATATATATATATATATATATATATATATATATATATATGAGAGAGAGAGAGATTCTTTTTTCAGCTTTTATATTCGACAATCACAACACGTAACAATATTTTAATCACGTATCAACTGCTATCTTATAAACCTCTCCAAAATTGTTATAATTCAACATCAAATCTACATCTGCACAAAGCAAACCTTTTAGTTTGTTGTTCATTGTAGAAGGTCATATGCAAATCCGAAAATTTCAAATTTAAACATTTTTATCGTCGTGCTTCTATTTCATATACTCACCTAATAATAAATAATTTATATTATTCTTTATTTTCAGGATTATTTTCATTCGCCTACTCTAATAACATTCTGTAAGAAACATATGTGGTTTAACTTTTTCTATTATCATATATATTTCTTACTATGAACTTTATCTTAATGGGCATACCTGTTTGAGTTGAGATCTTTTTTTCTTAAACAATTTTAAATTAATAACCGGCTTAAATCGAAAACTCCTACTAAAGAAAAAAATGTCTTTCGTCAGGAAAACCGCATATAAAACCGAAATGTGCCGTTATATAACATATCGTGATATATCATTTTTTGTTATTCAGTACTTTATATGTTTATGAGGTTCAAATTATCGGAAAAAATGTCTAGAATAGAAGAGTTATAGATTATTAGTATAATTCTGCTTGTTCATTTCTTGTATATTGAAAGTAATATAAATAATACATAATGATCAATTTCCCTGATGAACACATACTATATATGTTTGTAATTACTTTAAAGGAATTTTGATCGGCAGTTGTGATAAAGTGGAAACACCAGTAGACTTCATCTTCAGTACGTTTGTATCATGTTAACATGACTCCTGCTAAGTCAAATATTATAGCAAATATAATTAGCATCTGTTACGGATCAAGCTCAACATTCATGATCAAGAGTGAAGATTTAGGCTTCAAATCTACAAGGAATAATGTAACCGCTTGGTTACAATTATTTATTTTCATCACTCTTAGAGCTGACACACGTGCTCAAATTTCATTATGCTCCACCCCACCAAGAGATTAATTATTTCACGCTTCTTTGCAAGTGCATTACTCGTTATAACACAAGAGATAAAAAGTTGGTCTCATAGTTGGCTGTGAGTTCGATCTTAACTGTTTCCTGGTTCTTTTTAATTGCCAAACAGATTTATTTAAATTCATAACTATATATTTAAATTGCATCTGAAGTATTTATAGTAATTGACAAAATCGTTTAATTACTTTAAAATTCTATTTTTAGAAAACTATTTTATTTTTTAAATATTTTCATAATGTCTAAATGAATCATATATTTTATTTATATATATATATATATATATATATATATATATATATATATATATATATATACGCAGATGAAATTTTCTATTCATGGTTTTTTTAGATGCAAAATGATTTGACGTAGGCTTTTATTTTGATATTTATATCAAAAGACATTTCAATATTTTACTGAGCATAAAATTTAACGCATTTACTGACACTTTGAATCTCGCAAAAATACATTTCTATCAGAATGTGCAGTGTCACCTCAGTGCATATGCGATCATAGCTCTCCACAAATTCCTATGTCTTGTAGCATTTAGTAACATTTAGTGAAAATATAAATTTTACAAAATGCTATGATTCCTTATGTTTTTTGATCTAATATTTTTCGTTTTCACAATTTTAAAAAAAAAATTATCAAGACTGTCTCAGTTGTAATCCTTTTCTTTTGTAAAGTTATTTTTTAAAAATTTTTTTAGTTAACCATCACCGAAATACTGAGTAGGATATTCTACATTGTATGATTCATTCTAATATATATATATATATATATATATATATATATATATATATATATATATATATATAAAAAAACTTTGGGGCCAACTTAGTAAATTAATTGTTAATTTTACCCCAAATCGAAAATAATTATCAATATGCTTTTCTCAGTACATTTTATGATCTTTGAGGGCTAGGAAACAAGTTACTGCATTTTTGTTCACTCTGCATGGTAGATAGAGCATCTTAAGCAAAGTGATGCTAAAAAAAAGACCGTGCAAATATACTGGGCCACCAGCCCCCAAAAATACCTTTCACTCTAACGGCCCGGAATGAGAAATCGAAAAGCTGAGTTTGAATTTCAGTCGGGTTCGTTACATTCACTTATGCGAAAATATCCTTGGGAAAAGTATGAATCCATCTCATCTCCCTCCAGCTATGGGTTAAATCGCAGGACAGACTGAGTCCTATAACCATTCTACCGCAAAAAGAAACGGTAACCTAGCGCAGGAAAATCTGTTTAGTCAGCCATAAATCGAAAGTGACATGATCGCCAAGTCTGTACGTATGGTATTAAACTGACTGAAGTACAAAAAGTCAAATATGGAGTTAGTAATTAGTGTTGACGCATTTGATTCGAATAAATACCTCACTTTGAAGCGGTATTTAATGGAACACGGTCCAGAATTTCTCAATGCGAATTCTTTCCCATTCTTCCTAGTAGTAATCACAAAGCTCTTGGAGACTGCGTGGTTTTCGTTGGAGCACCTTCTTCACTTCCCACCATAAGGATTCCAATTATATTAGATCTTTTCCTTTGAGTCCATCCATTAGACAGTAGCCAACGACTTCTTTTTATTAGTATCATAACTGATTGGGATTCATTTCGTGACTTTCTTCGAGACGCACTTTAGATTTAGATTTTATCCTTATTGATAATTGTGCCACTGAGTTTTCTTCTTGGGTTAAAGCCGGTATCTGTGCTTTTCTACCTTCATGGAAATACCAGGTTAAGCCACAATGTTCTTGGTTCACACTTTCCTGTTTAACCGCTATAGCACATAGGAATCAATTTTACCAATTGTACCAGCGTGAGTGTTCTGATCATAAGAGACATCTTTTTGCCTGCTCGTAATAATTGCAAATGTGTCTTTGTTTGCTGATAGAATAAAGCATGGTATCGCCTCTAGCAAGTTTGTTTCTCGTGAGTATTGGCGGCTCTGTAAGAATTTACTAAATAAGATTAAGTCTTTTATCGCTCCTCTCTTTACTCAATTTGTGGTGTTAACATCTTCTGTTGATAAAAAGCAGAACGTTTTGCTCGTAAATTCTCTTTCAATTCTATTATTGACTCCTCTGGAGTCTTTGCTTGGCCTTCCACTTAAAACTCCATTGTGTGATATACATATAAGTGACCATGGTTTCTACTATCATTTCTAAACAGGATTCCCACAAAGCATGTGGACATGACGGTATCCCTGCAATAGTTCTTAAGAAATGTGCTCCTGAAATGGCTCATTTTTTTTTCGAAACTCTTCAATAAATGCTTTGCTGCTTCTTGCTTTCTTGCTTGTCGGAAATCATCTTCTGTATTTCCAGTCTTTAAGGACTAGAGGGAACCGTCTGATCCTACCTCTTTTGGAAGAGTACTAAATACGGTGGAGTAATTGATAGCGGTTCGGATTGATGAGATCGAATTACAGTCGAATCCATTACATATACTTACTTGCTAATACCCTTAGGAAAGGTATGAATCCTCTTCTCCCCACCCCCAGCTATTGGGAAATAGCAGGACAGACCGGGTTCCATAGTCTTGGATAGCAACTGATCTACCGCAGAAAGAAATGGCACCCTACAGCGGGAAAAAATCTGCCTCGTCAGTCTTTCGATACATGACCGCCTAAGCGTGTATCACGTATGGCACATAACTAACTAGATGCTCTAATCAACTCTGAATATGTTATGTATCCCCCTACTAAGGCCTTCTTTCAAATAAGCAATATCGGTTTCGTTTCTCTCCGTCAACTGCTTATGCATTAACGGTCACTGCTGAAACATTTTATCAAACTTTAGATAAAAATGGTGAATTGATTTACTATTTACTCTTGTCTAATCAGTTCCATAAGGTCAAATTGGCAGATGATCTAAAAAAATGACAATCTGTTGTTAAATGGAGTAAGAAATGGCTTGTTAATTTTAACACCCACATCCAAACGAAATTGCTCTCTTTTGGAGGATCTTTGTTGCATTGCATCTGCATGGATGACATTAACCTCCAGGATAGTGAATTATTACGCCTTTTTCCGCTGAAGTGAAAAGATTACCGTAACAGCTTCCTCGTGACTTTTCTATAAATGTTTTCATGATAATTGTTCTGATGAGCTTTCTTCTTTGGTACCTAGACTTTGTGGATATAAGCGCAGTACTACATTGGCAAGTTTTTTATCATTTTACAACTGAAATAGCTTGATATAACTGTAAGTTCTATGCTAACTGTTTCTTCTCTCACACTTCACACTTGTGGAACTCTTCTAGGCTCTTGCTTTCCCGTCAACATTGATCTTGTGAAATTTAAATGCAATGTCAGTCGTTATCTTCCGTCTTAATTCTTGTTCTTTTATTGTTATCCCTGTGTTTTTCTATTCTCTCACAATTAGTAAACTCTTGCGTCTTAGTGCCTTTATTGCCTTGCTTGGTGCGAAATGATTGAAAAAAAAACAAAAAAAACATGAAACATTTTTCGTTGCAGCAGGGAGCATCATCATGCTGTAAAAATTATTCATAGTTTTGGTAGAAGATAAGACCATTAGTGAACTAATAGTCTTCGTTGTTTTTGTCTATCTATAAACGTAATAGCTGCATCTTAGTTCTTTGGGATGTGATGATCCATATGCAGACAAATCGCACTAAGTTTCGACAAGT